GCTACACCTGCCCCCATACCTCCTCCCTCACCCCCATCCCAGGCCCCAAGAAGACTTTCCACATCAAGCAGATGTTCACCTGCACATCTGCCAATGTGGTATACTGCATCCGCTGTACCCGGTGTGGCTTCCTCTACATCGGGGAAACCAAGCGGAGACTCGGGGACCGCTTTGCAGAACACCTACGCTCGGTTCGCAACAAACAACTGCACCTCCCAGTCGCGAACCATTTCAACTCCCCCTCCCATTCCTCAGACAACATGTCCATCCTGGGCCTCCTGCAGTGCCACAACGATGCCACCCGAAGGTTGCAGGAACAGCAACTCATATTCCGCTTGGGAACCCTGCAGCCCAATGGTATCAATGTGGATTTCACAAGTTTCAAAATCTCCCCTCCCCCTACCGCATCCCAAAACCAGTCCAGCTCGTCCCTGCCTCCCTAACCTGTTCTTCCTCTCACCTATCCCCTCCTCCCACCTCAAGCCGCACCTCCATCTCCTACCGACCAACCTCATCCCGCCCCCTTGACCTGTCCATCCTCCCTGGACTGACCTATCCCCTTCCTAACTCCCTACCTACACTCACCTTTCCTGGCTCCATCCCCGCCTCTTCGACCTGTTTGTTTCCTCTCCACCTATCCTCTCCTCTATCCCTCTTCTATCCGCCTCCCACTCTCTCCTTATTTATTTCAAAACCCCCTTCCCCTCCCCCTTTTCTGATGAAGGGTCTAGGCCCGAAACGTCAGCCTCTCTGCTCCTATGATGCTGCTTGGCCTGCTGTGTTCATCCAGCCCTGCACCTTGTTGTCTCGGTAACTATAGGCCATTAGCTTAACATTTTTGTCATTGTGAAAATGTTAGCATCTATTCTAAAGGATGTATTAGTAGAGCATTTAGAAATACATAATGTAATTAAGCAGAGTTAGCATGAATTCATGAAGTTGAAATCATTGCCCGACAAGTTTATTACAGTTCTTTGAAGAAGTAACGAGTAGGATAGATAAAGGAGAACGGATTTGCAAAAGCATTTAATGAGATAACATTAAACTACTAAATAAGATGAGTCTGTGGTATTGGGGGTAGTATATTAACACGGTTAGGGGATTGGCTAACTCGTGGAAGACTAGTAGAAGTTGGATAAATAGGGACATTTCAGGATAGCGATGGATAACTAGTGGAGTCCCACAGTGATCAGTACCGGGACCACAATTATTTACAATACTTATTAATAACTTGGATTATGGAACGGAATGTACTGTCACTAAGTTTGTGTGTGACACCAATGTAGGTGGGAAGGCAAGTAGTCAAGATGACACAAAAAGTCTTCACAGGGATATAAACAGGTTGAGTGAGTGGGTGAAAGCTTGGCAGATGGAATATATTGTGGAAAAATTTGAGGTTATACAATTTGGCAGGATGAATATAAGAGCTCAATACTATTTAAATGGAGAAAGACTGCAGGCAGCTGCAGCACAGTCAGATTTGGCGTTCTTTATGCATCAATCACAAAAAGCTAGCATTTAGGTTCAACAGGTAATAAGGAAGATCTTTATTTTGAAGGGACTGGAGTATTAACATACAGACATCTTGCTAAAGCTATCCAAGACACCTGGAATACTGTGAACTGTTTTGCTCCTTTTATCTAGGTAAGATATACTGTTATTGTACGCAGTCCAGCAAAGGTTCACTAGTTTGATCCTGGGTACAGAGGACTTTATTTGTGAGGACCAATTAAGTAGGTTGAGTCTGTACCTATTGGAGTTTGGAAAAATGAAACATTAAGATACTAAGGAGATTTAACAGGGTAGATGTGGAGATGTTGGTCCCCTTATGGGACAATCTAGGACCTGAGGGTATAATCTCAGAGTTAGGAGTTACCTATTTAAGAAAGAGATAAGGAAGAGTTTGTTCTCTCATACAGTAGTGAGTCAGCGGAATTCTTTCTCGCAGAAGGCTCTATAGGCTGTGTGGTTGAGTGTATTTATTGCTGATGTAACCAGATTTTCAATCAGTAAGGGAATTGATAGCTTTGTGAATAAGGCAGGAAAGTGGTGTTGAGGGTTATTAGATCAGCCATGATTTCATTGCATGGTGGAGCAGACTTGATGGACCAAATGGCCACCTTCAGCTCTTACATCTTACAGTCTTTTGGTCTGGAACAGTGTTAAACAGCGAAGTCCCTTGTTTCACAAGAAAGTTCTCAAAAGATAATAATGACCTTGGTCTTGTTTGCTTCCACAATTTCTCTGAATAGTCTGCCTTTGGAAGATTACGTTCAAGAGATAAAGATGAACACATCAACTGGAGATAATTATAATGAACGAAAAGAAACAATAATGGATATATTTTACAAATGATCCTGATCTAGATATCTTGTCATTTGTCCCTTAATAGCCTGAGCTTTACCTGAGTTTTACCTGTTTTATTTTTCTTCCTCTTATTATTTTTAAACCTTCTACTTTCTTCAATCTAACCTAACAAAAACTAAATGCATAGCATTCTGAATGATTACATTTTTGTTATGGCAATATGGAGTAAAATAAGTTATATTTTGTTCGCAGGGTATTCTCCAAGGCTGCAATCAGATGTGTGCAGGCTACTTGTTCCAGCAAGATAAGCAGTACGATGTTTCCTACGACACAGGAGATAAGGCAATACAGTGTGGCCGTCACGTGGACATTTTCAAGTTTTGGTTGATGTGGAAGGCGAAGGTACAGTAACCTGGGCTGAAGTCTTTTATTACCAGCTTGACATGTTACACATACCTGGTTGTCTGACTTAATGGTTGGGTGGATAGTTTGAACTAAAACTGACCAGCTAGTCCTTGGAAAAGAGAAGGCCAAAATCCCAATATGCAACAAATGAGAAGTTAGATAAATGAAAGATGTAACTTGCTGAGCTACATCCGCGCAAAGTATGAAAGGTAGGAATTTTGGCTCTGTGCTTATGAATTAATGAATATTTGAATAGATTTGGATTGGGGAACACTGGTTAGGATTTCTAACCCCTGAAGTTTTGGCTATAACTAGAGGCAGATTTCTGTTTCGAACCATTAAGTTTTAAATTATTTCGAAGACATATTGCCATGTTTCCTGAATTGAACTTTTGATTTTAGTTTCAGTTATGGTTAAAAGTGAGCTATGCATTAACCTGGGTCATATGTTGTTTGCAGGTATATATATTTTTCTTATTAAAATGACAATATCACCATTGGATGGTGCTTCTGTAAAGACTGCCAGTACCAAACAGAACATTCTGGAAAATCATCTCTTACAGGTTTGCAGCATAGTATCAGAAGAGGTTGCCTTGGTAACAAATGTGGTCTAGTTACAGCACTGCAGAACATTGGAAATATTTGCTGTAGTGGAATTGACTATCTGATGGTTATGTGCACAAGTACCAGAAATTGCTTCCTGCACCTTGACAGTGAAATTAAAGGTGGGGTTCATCACCCTTAATGTATATGACTGTGAAGATCTAAATATTTAATCATTAAACAGCTACTAGTACAATTTTTAAAATAATGTAGTTACAATTTTTTAACAACATAAATCTACATGATTTATTTTAGAATCCCAATTGCCTTAAAAATCTTTACAGTAATCCACAGTCTGAGTTTAAACAATCAGGAGGGTGTAAAACTTTTACTTCAACGTTTTGTGATGACATCTGGATAGAAAACATGGAGCCTATATTCTTCTGAGCTTCTCTGATCAAGAGCAAGGTGGATGAACCTTGTGCCAAAAACAGGAGAGAAAACGTAAAGGATTACAGCAACCATAACTGTCATAAACTCTGGGACCTCTGCCCACTGTTTAAAAGAGTTAATTGTTTTTCAAAATCTAGAATACAGAGAAAAATGAAAAGAAGTTATAGTATTGAGAGGCTGGTCCAACAGTTTTATAACTGTGGGAGCAAGTAGTTAGGAGCGCAAACAAATAGAGGGATGTAAAGGTTTGACAATAAAGGGAAAGAGCTGCTTGGAATTGGAAGTTGTAGGAGGATAACTTTCAAGGCAGAGGCATTCCGGGAATAGTATGAAATTGGTAGAAGGAAGTCTTAGAATGTGGAGGCACTGGGCTGAGTTCGGCAGATGCATGCGCATTGTGAAGAAATTGCTGGTGTGAAGTAGTTATTGGATATCAAGGTGGAATAGAGAAGACAGTTCTGGAACAAGAAGTATGAGATACTGGTCACAGGATGCAAAGGTATTTGGGATGGGAGTTGAAGTATCTAGAATAACTGATGAGAGAAATTTCACAATTTTTAAAGCATGGAAAGTGACTGGACTTTACTTTGTCATGCAAGTAACTCTGTTGGATTTCCTGGCATCAGAATTAAAGCCTATAGGATCCTTTAGTGACAAGATTCTCAAAGCTTCAAGGGACCTTAGATTGATCATTTGCTCTTTTTATCAATTAAGTACAATACATTTCAAGAAAATGAATAATTTCCTCAACATGCAGCTACTATATGATCACCCATACCACATCATGCATGTAAATGTTAATTTTCTTTTTGAATCATTCTGTTAAGAATCGAACTATTCAAAGATGGAAAGCAAATATGTACCTGGTTGCTGGGTGATAAATTACAGTTAACCACAACTGATGCCAACTGTGTGATTCTCCAGCATTCCAAGATACAATACAATATTTTTTAGCTACCAGAATTGAACACATTGTTCACATATGAAAAGTAGATTTAAAGTGTCTCAGTAGCTCTGATGGCATAATGTATTAGACAGCTGAACAATAATTTAGGTTGCAGCTGAGAGGTACATGCTCCAAGATTTTCCTTTGGAAAGGGGACTTTTATAACATAAAAGCAAGGTGACAGAAAGCAATGAGGAAGGAGGTGAATATTACCAGCAGCAACAAGAAGCTGCTGAGGAGAATCCTCAGCTCATAGTTGGGTCATCCAGAGCCATCATATTTGGAACATCTTTCTTCAGAGTCAGGCTTCTCAGCTTCATGAATACTACAGTTCAACCAAGAATCCACAACATTCACATCCTCTGGACAGCCATCTAAACAAACACAACACATTAATCACATATTTTTACAGCTACAAACTGTTACAAGACAACGGAAATAAACAGATGAACTTCAGCAACTTAGAATAGTTTATTTCTTGTCCTCAATTATTGTAATGTCTGGTCACTGTGGTTGGCTTGGTGCCACTGTCTGACTTTCTTCTGGTGCTCCTCCTAGGTTCAAAAGCAATTTTGACTGTCTTGGGATTGTGATGTCCTTCCTATCCTGATGTAAAAGTTCTGGGAAGAAGTAGGTTCATGTTGCATGTCCAGTGTGTTTTATAGGAAGCTTCTCTCATCACATAAGGGAATTGGCCTGTTGACCTGTTATTGTGCATAACAAAGTGAACTGGTGAGCACTTTTCTGTTGGGTTCAAACTGGACATTGGATTTCCAAAGAGCGTGATTGGTATTGTTTTCCCCAACTGTATGCCAGTTCTGTCCAAACCTGTAAAGTTAGTCTTGTTGAGAGAATCTGAATTGAAAGACAAGGTGTTCTTCCTACCCAGTGGCTGAATTGGGGTAGTTCCATGTTGTACTGTTGGAAGCTGCTGGGTGGCCTGTATTGGAGTAAAAGCATGTGGTGTTACACTTACTAAATTCCTGCAGTTGGCTTGACACATGCTGCACAGAAGGAGAGGCTCTTTCCTATAGCTGCTTGTAGGTGTGATGCTCTGCAGGTTTTAAAAGTCAAGTCAGGATCCAATAGTTCTTCTGCTGAGGCTGATGTCACCTTATCCCTGTGTGCTTTGCACCTGGTAAAGATAATACTTGCATAACCTGGAACTAGAGGAGTCAGGAAAACTCAACTTCGAAACCAGAGCAATTTCTTGGCAGGTTCAACTTGCATTTGCACAAAAAGATCTTCATGTTGGACAATGGGCACGAACATTTCTGGCATGCTCCATGGGTCTGGTCACATGCACAATATTGACACCCAACACGTGCCAGCTTCTATGATCCCTGTTGGTACATTTCTGATCCACTTATAGATGATTCTGCTCTTCGCTGCTGCACCTCAGAAGGCACTGGCAACTATCATTGTAATACTCCAGCAAGAATACTGTGTGCTCAGCGAGACGGACCCAGCTCATAGACTGGACCAGGCTGCATCTCCGGGCTCTTTGCTTGCTCTCATAAAGCTCATTCACTCTGAGCCTATCTGGATGCTCACAGTACCCATGGCTTGCTTGCCTTGCCTTTTTACATATTGACCCCTCTGCTTCAGATATACCAGGCTCATCTTACCATTGTATGACCTAGTTAATGCAGACATAAAGCCAGGAAGCTTGCCACGTTGTCACCAGGCCTCAGTTCAGTCAAGGTGAATAGCCTTCTCTCAGGGGTTCCTAGCACAGTGAGTTTAAAGCAGCCTCTAATGCCAGTCCAGGTCCTCTCAGGACTGTCAGACTGAGGATCCTCTGCTAGTAAGGGGCGAGGAGGTGAATGACGGGCAGCACGCCAGCTGCCTTGATCCTTTCTGCCCTATGATGGGTTGTTTATGTTCCTGGAATGAGAGAGAGGCAGGTATTACAGGAGACGAAAGTGGATGGACCAGCAATTACTGTTGGTGCAGGTGGAGAGTGAGTAGCAGTGTACAGGTTTTGCGGGGCTAGAGAAATCAAAGGTTAGGATTCATTTAGTGATTGGGGGAAAGCATTGTAGAAAGTCGTGAAAGAGTGGTAGAGCATGAGCTTTGTGGGAGATGGGTCCAGTAGCAGAGTTAGAGTGAGTGTGAGGTATTGGAGAGATGATGATGGAATGGAGTAGGACACTGAACTTCTTCCTATACTACTGAGCATTCCTCCAGACAGTTGATACTGCTCTGATCTAGGTGGTCTCCGCTGTTGGTCGTGAGGGATAAGGAAGTCCCACCTTTATACCAGCCCCTCCAGCAGAACCTCCAGGATGATGCCCACAAAGTTGCGCTTTGACTTCCCCCTGATCTGCCGTGTCCACGACAAAATGTCAGGAACCTTGCAGAGCAGCTCCAGATTTACAGCATTTGGCTGGGTGCACAACAATCTTTTAAATATGGCACAGGTGCAAGGGATGATGGTCAATTCCGGAGTCTCCAGTAAGCAATAAGTTCTTCCAGGAATGGCATGTAGTAAGATGGGGCAAAATTGCACGTGATACTCACCATAAGTGCTGAAATGCCGAATAATATGGTGGGTTTGTTAAGAAATGGCGAGAAAACTCTTTTGGCCTTATGATGACAATCATTCCACCAAATCCAGTGCAACTTGTTCTTAGCCAAATCACCTTAAGATTCAGCCCTTAGGATTTTATGAAAGTCCCACAGCTCTCTTTTGCTGCAATTTGTCCAACAACCAACATACTGAATGTATTTAATGAAAGTTGGTGTTGTGCCTTTGTCCAGCCTTGATTCCTTAAAACCATGAAAATCAGTAATAATTGGAAATGAACGTGCCTCTTTTAAGGTATGCAAGATCTGTGAGACCCTCTGTGTTATTTGCAAGTTTTACATTTTTTTTCTGGGAATTGCAAAACAATAAGCCCTTTATATTAAATCTACGCCTCTGAAAACTATGTAACAGCAATTATATATCACCTGCACAGCACATTTCACCAGGTGCATCCTTTCCAGGTTGCTTTGATCAGGATTGCCAAACTGTTAGTCTAAAGAAGAGGTCTCAGCTCTTTCTGAATTTG